GTCGCAGCATCTCCTTCTACAAACCGTGCGGGGGGACGGGTGCCCTGTGAAGGCCTGTCAGGTGGTTGTGAGTTAAATGGTGTCCCCAAATGCACGTGCTGGTGTCCTAACTTCCAGAACCGTAGAGCGTGCCCTTATTTGAAGAGAGGGTCTTCACAGAGGGAATCAAATTAAAGTGAGGTCGTGAGGGTGGGCTTCATCCAACATGCGTTCTTGTAGGTCCAGGAGTCCAGGCAGGACATGGACATGGACACAGGGAAGATGACGCGAGGACACGGGGAGAGAGCAGCCATCCACAGGCCGCGGCGAGAGCAGAGATGGGGCCCCCCTCGCGGCCTCCGGAGGCCCAGCACTGGCCACCTGGGCTCTGGCTCCCGGCCCCCAGGCCTGAGGGGCAGCACACAGTGTGTGGTCCCTGAGGCCTCCGCCCTGGGCAGAGCTGGAAAGCGCCCTGCTCGTGTGCTTGCTTTGTTGAGAATAAAACAAGAGAAAAGGAAACCAGAAATGGAAGGAACGCACAGCTTGGCCTTACTTCCCAAAGTGTAAATGCCTGGAGGGCAGGGCGGTGGGTTCCTCCCCATCACAGCCCTGTGCCAGGCTCCTCTGGGTGCGGGGAGGGAGATGGAGGTGCAGGCGAGGAGGACGAAGGTGGTCTCAAGACGTTGGTTTCCTGGTCTGCCTCGTGGCGTAGACCAGAGAGGGAGATTATGCGTGGACACAAAGGAGAAGGGTCCCTCGGCTCCTCCTCCTGCCGCCCGATCCCCCTCCCACCCGTGGAAGGGAAGGGTGAACGCCTTGAACCCTCACTTTGAGCACGTCCACCTGCAGACAGTCAACCTCCAGGGAGACCAGATGATGCTGAGCAACCAGGGCATGTGGCCACCTGCAGAATGACGGCCCCAAAGAGAGGCCCTCTCTCGGTGAGTTTCTGCCCCACTTCAGATGCTGTGTCCAGCCTGGGCGAGCCACCTTCTCCTGGTCACAAAATGTCCCTTGGACGCAAGATGTCCAGCTTAGAGCAAAACCCATCCAAATCCTTCACAAGCCCAGCTTCTGCTTAAAAGTGTGCTCTGGGGGGCAGAGTACCACCCCCAGCCCCACCCCAGGCCCCACCCTGCACCCCAGCCCCACCCCAGCCCCCACCCTACAACCCCAGCCCCACCCCAGCCCCCACCCTACAACCCCAACCCCACCGCAGCCCCCACCCTGCAGGTTTTTGACTTCTTCAACCATCTGAGAGCTCCTTTCTCAGGGGCTGCCGGTGGAATGAGCAATTCAGTCCTTCCCTGCAGTGATCAGAGCTGCTGTGAAGACTTCAGGCCTTTCTAAGTGATTTCCTGGTTCCTTCAGGTCAATTTAAGTTGACTAAACTCAGGGCTTCAAAATCAAGGTTTGATTTGAGTGAGAAACAGTGTGATCGCAGGGGCCATAGACACGCAATATTCCCCGAGCCCCACACTCAGCACGGCCCACGGGTGGGGGAGGCAGCCAGCTCTGACTGCGGGTCCGTCAC